GATAAAAATAATTGTTCTGTGTTCTACGCGGGTTCTCCATTGCATGCGAAGCAATGGCCGACTTCACGAAGACTTCAGAAGGTCGTTGAAGCGATGTTCAAGTACAAAGTAATTTAGGAGGAACCATTTCAAATCCTTTTTCTTAGCTCTTCTTTCCTCTAAGCTTTGAGGTATCTACAACATCACTGGAAGAGCTAGAGCAGCTTAGTTAGGTCCACGTATTCCAATAGAGTTAAAGCGTTTGTTATTTGTGGTACAAACAACTGTCGTAGTTCATCCTTTGTCGCATTTTCGGCAATAAGCCGGAAGCGTGCTCGACGATTTGACGTTATGTAACAGGTCAGTTACACATTTACTAGCTTTGACCTTACAACGAGAGCTAGAACGGTGACTGGGGTTTTTCGTGTAATGGCTTGATAGCTTCTGTTTATGTCGAAACGACTCAAAACAAAATTCCATCGTGAAAAAAGATCGACTAAATTCCCTTCTGAAAAACACGTGTGTATTTAAGGTGGAAAATGTTTCAAATGAGCATTCAATTCTTAAAGGTTTAATTCTATAATCATTTGTTTAGTTGTGTAAATAAATTTAACACGACTTGTACTTTTTGTCTAAGTGAAAGGCGAGCTGCGGGTTTTCCCTTTTCTTTATTTACACTTTCAGATATGACCGCTTAACAAAAATGCACGGGCTCAATGGCTTACAACCTTGGCGAATTCATATGCAGGCCTGGTCGCAAATCAATCACCCAGTAGCAGAGAGTGGTGGTTAGCGATTATCATGGCAACAATTCGTCGCTTAGTTGTATTCCATTTTATACTTAAATTCGTAATTGATCATATTACTCTCAATTTACCAAATGCTTTTTAAAAAAAATTCAAGGTGAGGTAGCAAAATACAGAATGATTTGAGTGTTTTTCTCGRTTATATTTTCACTTCCGGTCACAAGTGTGTTTAATTTACAATGGAGCCAAAATTRGTACAATGATAAATTRCTATACATCTGCGTTGTTTGACATCTTTAAGTCTTTAAGCGCCTAAAGCATTGATCAATCGGCATGTGATATATGTGTTTCGTTGAAAAATTCTGTAATTCATTCTGTAGTAAATTAGTGACATCATAGAGTCATAGTTTCGTTAGCTATGGACATACCAAGTCACTATGTAATACTTACAAGTAAATATTATTGKTTTGATTACTTTAGTTTATACCAGTATTTTAATATCTTAACGATTTATATCCCCAAACGTGCTTTGTTTTCCTTTTTTGTACCAATTCCAATCTCGCACGGATCAACCAATAGAACAGGAGTTTGACGTCAATGKTGGTTTTGTCGCCAGGGACAACTCTTCATTAGATCAATGTTGGCACGATACCGTTGTCGCGACCTGGTATTCCTGCTTTAGAATGCATAAGAAAGAAGATGAATCTGTTGTTTTACCCCTATCTCAAGGTGATTGCGAGGCATCAAGGTACAATTGCACTATATACCCAATATACAAGTAATTTTATCGTAATTTGCTATCAACTTCAATYGTACCATCGTTAATTGTATCTTAATGTCCATGGTGGGCCCGTGCACATCCTGTATTGATTGCTGTTTGATTAGCTAACAAATCTGTTAATGTTATCAAACTGTTTAACATATAACCACTGCTAATTACTACTTACTGTTTTAAAACAATAAAAAGAGACGTCTTTATTTACCCTAAAGCTCCCACCTTTTTCTTATTGTATACGATACTAGAGTCATTTTCATCCGTCTGTGAAATAGGAATTGTACTATTAAATACTATTAGCTCCCAATAGTTTCACTTATGACATGTGGCAAACTAATTAGGCAAACAAATAGTTACTATTAAACACTGACTAGCAGTAATTGTTTCACAGACGGATGAAAAAGACTCTACAACGCAATGGATTGTTAGAAGTCTATGAAAGAGATGCGAAATTGGAAATCACGTCAGATATAACCAGTTTAAATGAACAAAAACGTATTGAAAATTATCAAGATTTCAATGATAAACGTTAATTATCGNTAGTTTCACTTATGACATGTGGCAAACTAATTAGGCAAACAAATAGTTACTATTAAACACTGACTAGCAGTAATTGTTTCACAGACGGATGAAAAAGACTCTACAACGCAATGGATTGTTAGAAGTCTATGAAAGAGATGCGAAATTGGAAATCACGTCAGATATAACCAGTTTAAATGAACAAAAACGTATTKAAAATTATCAAGATTTCAATGATAAACGTTAATTATCGGAATTAATGAATGTAAATCCGCAGTAACACATGAAATGCGTCATGATCATAATTTTTAAAGAAATGAATTATCTTTGTATCAAAAAACCTGCATGAAACTGTTTCAAAAGATCCAATAAAATATAATAAAAATCTAATAATAATCAAATGCAATTTTAAGATGCAGTTAATTGTTATATACAATGATATACACGAGACTCAATGRAGCGATTGTTGTCCGTAACACTCTTGATGGTGAACATACAACGTCTACGCGCACCAATTCTTATCTGACTGCATTGTTGGAAAAGG